CAGTCTGTGAGACAGGAGCCATACTCGGTCCCGACCACACAGGATGTTTCTGGAACCCAGCAGAGACTAGAGAGGCAGCTTTGGGAACAGAGAGGGCCCCTGATGCAGCAGTAGCTCACCAGCTGAGCCTGTGTGGGGACTCTCTGGTGACAGTTGGGTCCGGGCCAGCACCTGGCAGGGATGGTGCTGTCCCATCCTGAGGCCAGCTGACTTGGGTTCAAATCCTGATTCCACAATTGCCCCTCTGAGCCTCTATTTCCTCCTCAGCAGGTGGGGATACCAGTCCATAGCTCAGATGGGGCCCGACACACAGTACCTGCTCAATGGGAGCAGGTGCTTTTATTTTAGACACAGTGGATAGCTCTGGCTTGTAAATGCTCTCAAGCAGATGCTGCTGTTAGGGAAAAACCCAATGTGGTCCTGGCCAGGGCCACCTTTCCCTCTGAGCTTTTATCCCACTAGGTGCCTGGCACACAGTAGGTGCTTTGTCTACACCAGCTGCTCGGTAATCTGCTCACATAGGCAGAGATTGTGTCCTTCCTGTTCCCACTATTTCCTTAGAGCCGAGAACAGCCAGGTACCCAGCAGGTGCTCAGTAAAGATCAGGAATGAAGAATGGACAAAGGTGAAGGAGCGAGCACCAGGTGTCCCTTCCTGTTTACAGTGCTGGAGTGGGGAAGGGGAGCTTGTCACCCCCCCCCACGTCTCACCCCTCGGGGCTAATCCTGGAGATTAACCTGAGGACAAAGCCAGGTCACAGCCACTCACACAGGGCTGAGGAGCCAGTGTCCACAGCTAGTGGGATCGGGTGTGTGTGAGGTGCGCCAGCCACTCCTGAGGGCCTCTTCAACCCAAGATAGCCCTCCTGTCGCCCACGCTGGACACGGTCCTCACCACAGTCCTCAGCCTCCTCCTCTTCCTGCTGGCCCTGGGCCTGCTGTGCTTCTTTACCTGCCGACTGGCCCAGCCGCTCAGGTAGGGGATGTGCCCGGCCCAACTCCCACTCCGCCCGTAATGTTTGTCCTTGCCCACATGACAGAGGGTGGCACTCACCTCTCTGCCTCTTAAGGGTGGGGAAACTGAGACTGGGAGAAGCTGTGCCCCAGGGTCAGCCCAGGTTTGAATCGTACTTGGCTGTAGACTAGCTGAGCCCTCCACCCCGTTCCCTCCACTGAAGAACGGGTCCAGTAATACTTGTTGCTGTGAGGATGACTCGAGATCACAGACGCAGACAGCTGAGTGCTCATTAGTGTGCAGTGAGCCCTGTGACTCTGTTTGCTCTGGATGTTTTCAGACTCGGGCCAAGGCTGCTCTGCCTGGGAAGCCGAGTGAGTGCTCAGTGCAGGCCTGGTCCCTCGGCCCCGCTGACTTGCTGAGTACTGTAGCTGCTCCTTCTCCAGGCTGGCATCCGGCTGGGGCTTCTGCCTGCTCCTCGTCATGAGTAATCAGGGCACGTAGCCGGGAGCCTGGCAGAGTAGGTCTGGCTGCAAGGGGGGAGGGGTGGCGAGGGGCTGGCACCCACCCGACCGCCTCATTCCAAGCTGGTGGAGCACTGGCAGGGGTGGTGAAGCAGACAGGGTCCCGCAGCCCCAGACGGGGCCCCTCAGAGCCCCTTACCCAGGGCTGCCTGGGCGGGGAGTCAGTGGGAAGAGTGTCCCAGATCTCCGCCCCCTCTGTCCCAGGCAGAGGCGGCAGGAGAGGGCACCTGTCTCCGGGCCAAGCCCAGTTCAATGCAGGGCGCTGGGGCCCAACTTCCGAGCAGGTGGGGGTGTGGGGCCTTTCATTAGGTCAGTGTTTACAGAGTCACTGCTTTGTCAAGGGCTGGGGTCACAAAGACGGGTGAGGTGGTCCTTCCTTTCAGCGTCAGTCTAGCGGAGAAGAGGGACCAATGACCTCAGGCATCACTGTGTGGGCCGGATGGGCGCTGTAGCTCTCCTGGGGCCACCCCCACTTTGATCCTCCCTCCTTTTCTCCTTTGTCATAGGGGCAGAGAGAGTGGAGGAAATTATATTTTAGAGTGCAGACACACTGTCACGAGCTCTCAGTTCTTGCTTTATTTATTCCTTTTCTCTGTCATCCCTGCTCCCTGCCCTCCCACACACTGCCCTCCACCACTCCCCCAAGATCTTCATGCTAAGGTATTTAATATGTTCTCTGATTTGTATGTATCCTTGTAAATTACACAGTGTTGTGTCAGTGGATGGGGTTTACATTACATGCAGGCCACTGGGTTTTATTCTTTATTTCCTTTCCTCAAGTCTGTGTCTTTCAGCCCCAGTCATGCTGTGGTTGACATGCGGTGTTAATACCACTTCTACGTAGACATCGCACCCGCCACTCTTCACTAATTCATTTTCCTCATTATGGACAGAAAGCCTATCCCCATTTCCTCATAATTGTAATTTATAATTAAAGAGAATTCGGGGCCGGGGATTTGGCTCAGTGGTTCCAGTGCCTGCCTCGCAAACGCAGGGCCCAACTTCAATCCCTGGTACCCCCCCCCAAAAAAGAGAGAAAATTTGCCAAAAGTCTCTCTAGTAAGTGTGATGGTTTCTGTAGGTTTTAGCATAAAGCCTTTATGAGATTAAATGAGTTCTTTTCAAGGCCAAGGATGCAACTCAGTGGTAGAGAGGTTGCCTAACATGTTGCGGTCCTAGGTTCCACCCAGAGCCCAACAAAAAGAAGGAAAGAAAGAGAGAAGGAAGGAAGGAAGGAAGGAAGGAAGGAAGGAAGGAAGGAAGGAAGGAAGGAAGGAAATTTGTTTTCAGTACCCGGCTTTCTGAGGATTGTTGTCATCTACAATTTTCTGACACCATCCCTTCTCCTAGTGATCTTACTGAGTTTCAACAAGGCTGTAGCGTCTACCTCTGTGCTCGTAATTCCAAAACTGATGCCTCTATCCAAGATTTCTGTTCCAAATGCCAGACTCATATATCCAGCTACCTACTCGATGTCTCCACTTCTAAAAGACATCTCAAATTCAACAAGCTCCTGATTTCCCATCACAAAATCTACTCCCTCTCACAGCTCAGAATGCCCCCCCAGTTTCCCAAAGGCTGAATGCTCTTCCCTTAACCTCAGGAACAAGGTGCAGTTGTCCACTCTCTCCTCTGCTGTTCAACATGGCACCGGAAGTGCTCACCGGTGCAAAAAGGCAAGAAAAAAAAACACAGATTGAAAAGGACGGGCCGGTTAACAGGAAGAGCTCGTACTCTTCGTAAGTGACATGAGTGTCTCCATAGAAAATGCCAAGAAGTTCCACAAAAATCCTTAGAGCTAGAAAGGGAATTCAGCAAGATCACAAGATACAAGGTGACAACATAAAAACCAATGCTTTTCCACATATGAACAAGGAACAGTTCAGAAACAGTGCCATTTACGATAACCCTCCCCCAAAATGAAATGCATAGGCATGGATTTAACAAAGCATATCCAGGATCTATACACTGAAGACTACAGTGTGCTGATCAAACAAGAATAAATGAATGGGGGGAGGTACAGCGTCCACGACTCGCGGACCTCACACTGCAGAGATGTAAAATCCACCCCTGAGCTACAGATTTAATACAGTCTCAGTAGACGGTGATAGAAGACAGTTCCAGGACAGGCAGGCTTAGGCCTGGGGACTGTTGGATTCTGAACAGACAGCACAATAGGTTGTAGAATTGCTCTGCATTCTGATCACAGTGGTGCTTGGATGGATCTCTTTACCTGTCAAACTTTGGAAACTTCGTTTCCCACTTTTAAGGAATCGGAAGCCTCACTGCAGGGTAGGGTGGGGGTCACCAGCAGTAAGCGTGGTGCTAATCCCGGCATCAGAAGCCCTATTTGCTTTTGTTTTTGTTTCTCTGGTACCGGGGATCGAATTCAGGACCTTGCGCTTATGAGGCAGGCGGCAGAACCACTCAGCTAAATCCCTGGCCCTGGAAACCCTGTTTGTAACTATAGGCAGGTCACTTCTTCCTGAGCCTTGTTCTTAGGGCTGAGAGAGGGGGAAGTGCCCTCCCCCGCACTGCAGAGGCCCATGGTGAGACTTCCTAGTGAAAGTCTCCATACTGCGAGGTGCTGCGAACAGGCCTGTTTGTCTGTGGGCTGTCCTTTACAGATTGTTCATACAATCTCACGAAGACTAGTTCTCACTTTATTGAAACGTGTGCCGAGAAGTGTCCGTGTCATAGACGGACCGCTTGTTGGATTTTCGAACTGAGCCTCCCATTGTAAACAGCACCCTGACCCATAAACAGAATGACACCACACCTAAGAAGGTCCCTGGAGTCTCCCTTTGTCTCCAGAGCCCTCCACCTGTCCTCTACCACCCAAGGTAAGAGTCGCACTATGTGTGTCTACTTCCCAGCTCAGCCTTGCTTTTGGGAGAGTCTGCTGGGCTGCTGCCTAGAGCTGTCCGCTCACTGTCCTTGCCCTGAGCACAATGTGTCTGTCCAGCTGCTGTCGGTGGCCATGGCTGTGCTGCTGCAACGCAGGGAGCTGATAGGACCATTCTGCTGCAGTGCCATAGGGCCCCTGTACGGTGTTAAGCTTTGGTGGGGGCTGTGGGTTCCCTGGCACTGTGCCGATCAGCACTGCCCACTGGGCGGATACTCCCGTCACATCACAGCCTGTCCAGCACTGGACATTTCTGCATACCCGAGCGAGAGATTCAGGGGCGATTTTTCCTTTCTCCTTACTCCCTTCCTTGGAGCACTTGCTTTCAACCGATGAAATTGTTAATGTGCTGGGCACTAGGAGTACAGAGATCAACAGGACAGAGCCCCTGCCCCCGCCCCCCCCTGTTCCCATTTGGTGGCAGCAGGAAGGAATTCTTTTGAAAACAGGGAAATACCTGTAATGGTTCAAATGGCCTGAAGTTCAGAGTTAATGCACTGAGTGACCATGCTAGAGGCTTCCTAAAAGAGGTGACTTTGGTTTAAACTATTGTGGATAACATTTTAGTGTATTAATATTTTGTAGGAATGCAATAACATTTTTCGTGATTTTAGGATTTGCTAATAGATCCATTTGACAACTATAGTAGAATGAAAACATCGGAAATCATCTAAAATCTCACTACTCGGGGTTCAGCACAGTTAGAGGTTAGTTATAAAGTGTTTTTATCAATTCTCAACCCACTACCCACCCCTCTAGCCCCAGAGCCCTCTGTGTAAGGTTGAATCAAGATCCCTTTTCCTGGTGGTTTCTTATGTAGTACAGCACCTTGCTAATGGGAAAACGTGAATCATTTCCTGTAACAAATGGAATCATCATCTGTATCTTGGTTTTGGTTGAAGGAATACCTGATTTACCAGCGAGACCCTTTTAAAATCTCGCATCTTCTGGTAACATTCATATACAACAGGGTTACTACACTTCTCAGCGGCCAGTAGGGCTGTTCCTTGTGATCTCAACAGGATGAGGGCTCAGGGGTTCTGACACCTGCCCCAAAAGCGCCAAGTCCCAAGTTCAATCCCCAGTACCAAAAAAAAAAAAGAGGCTAACAGGATAACCACAATTTAAAAACATTTTTAAGCTATTAATACATGCTCATTTTAGAAAGCAACTTGGGAAAAACAAAACAAAACCTTTTAAAAGAGGAACAATTGGGCCAGGGATTTAGCTCAGTGGTACCGCCGCTTACCTCACAAGCACAAGGTCCTGAGTTTCATCCCTGGTACCAAAAAGAAAAAAAAAAAATCATTCACAATCCTACAACCCAGAACCACAGTTAATGTTTTGAGTGTTTCTTTCATTCTATGTTTTAAAATAACATTTTTTGAAAGTTATTAAAGTGAGCTAAAGGTACAAGATCCCAAAAATGAATATAATTGTACTGTATACCTAAAATGTACCAATAAACTCAATAAAAGGATAAAAAATGAAGTGAGCTAAGGGTATATAGTTCAGAGGTAGAGTATTGCCTTGTATGCATAAGGCCCTGGGTTCAATTCTCAGCACTGGAAAAAAAAGGCAGAATATTTTAAGATATATCATCAAAGAAGGTACGCAGAGGGCAAATAAGTACATGAAAAGATGCTCAGCATCATTATTAGAGAAATGCAAGTTAAAACTGCAGGGGGATTTAGCCCAGTGGTTCTGCCACCTGCCTTGAAAGTGCAAGGTCTTGAGTTCGATCCCCGGTACCAAAAAAAGAGCACTTGCCCAGCATGCATGAGGCCCTGGGTTCAATCCCCAGTGCTGGGGGCAAAAATAAAGGTAACATCTCAACACAGAAGAGAACCTGGGAAATGCAGAAGACAAAGATAATCAGAGTTGTGGGCAGCAATCACTGCGCAGAAACAGCCACCCTGACTGACCAATCTTTTTTCCTATGTGTCTTCTTGATGTTTTTATATCTCTTACCAAACTGTTAGCAAATACAGCTGTCCTGAGGGGTAAATGTCCTTCCAGGAAGCAACGATCTCTTTGCGTCATCCCAGCTGTGTGGGACATGGAGCTCTAGGACAGTGCCCCTGAGGACCTGGTCCAGGAGCCGGCAGTGACATCAGCACAGCCCGAGCTTTACCAGAACCAGAGGCAAAGGCAGAGGCCCAGGCCGACCCCAGGAGGTCCCCAGGCAGGCTGCAGTTGAGAAGCGCTGTGCAGAAAGCCTGCCCTTGGGGGCAATGGGTCGGTCGGAAGTGGCTCTCCCTTGGGAAATAGAATGGACCTCATTTATACTTACAACAGCTGTTTGTGTGATTTTGTTTCCAGAGAGAAGGCCCAGCTAGCTTGGCACCTCAGTGTCTATCCCCATGTCCGGCCTCTAATAGATGTTCAGCAAATACTTGTTGAATGAATAATCAAGGCTGAGTACCTGAATGAAGATATGAATCCCAGAGATGTGCTCCATGTCTTCCTCTCTCTCTCTCTCTCCTCTTTCTTTTTTCTTCTTTTTCTCTCTAATTTCTAGGATTGGATCATCAGTTAACGGCTGATCACTAACGGTTGATCACCAGCAGCCTACTTCCTCCCGCCCACGTGGGTCACATTTCTGGGTGCCAGTGAAGATGCAGGTCTCGGGGTGCACCATGATTTCACCATTCTTAGTACTGGCCATTGGTACCTGCCTTACCAACTCTTTAGTGCCAGGTAGGACTGGGGGATACAGGTGGAGGGATGGCAAGACCTCGTGCAGGTGGGGCAGGATGAGGGCTGTGTCCAAGGTCATGGAAGGTCACGGAACATTCCGAGTGTTTAGGGACTGGAGTCAATGTCCAGAGCAGGAAGTCTCGGCTCTGCTACCGCATGTGCTAGTATTGGGCAGGTCACTCTTTTGCCCTTTGCACTCTCCTATACTTTGGCTAGGACGCCTGGTCTCCTTTTCCCTCTGAAACATAATGAATTCTGTAGACTCCTTCGAGAATTGGTGCGCAGAGTCTCTCCTTGGCCCTGCCTGCTTGCTCCCGACTTCCTGGTAGCAAGCACATTGCCTTGTGTTAGTAGTTCCTGCACGTGAACTCATCTTCAGCAGGAGTTTTCCGGTTCGTTCTGTTTTTCTGTTGGAAACTCACGGGGAAGTGTGTTTGAAGAGTGCGGTGGTGATGAATCCAATTCTTTCTGAGTCTTAGGCTGCTAATAATGTAGACAAGTTCTTATATTAATTTCTCTGTTTGCCCTTGTGCTATGAAGTCAAATCCCTGCTTACACCTGGCTCGGATGTGAGTCCAGCTCATTTCTGAGGAGCCCTCTTTTCTGGTCCCTTCCCTAACTCCCAGGGAAAGCACATATGCAACATCTGCTCTATCGGTCCCCATGGTTCCTCCACTGCAGCCCCTGTTTACCCTTCTGGTTTTGAATTTCCTCTCAAATACTGCCTCCCGGGGATTTCCCTCCCCTCCTTCTTCCTTTTTAAAGCTATGTGCTGTTTGGGGTTGTTTATATTTTTTGGCATTCCTATAACTGGAGTCAGTGAGGAGAGCCATCTTGGGCTCAGTCTGCCCTGTGGCTGGAAATCCCCTCTTGCTCCCCTTGAGTCTCATCCCCACCCTTCAGGGGAGTTTCCTCCTCTTCCGGGCTGGGAGAGAGTTACACGGGACCCTCACAGAGTCTGGCATTCGATGAATGTTGGTCTCTTCCCTGAGGAAGATGGTATTTCAACAGACGTGGAGACGGAGGTGAAGAGACACGACCAAGCCAGCTTTCAGTAGCAGGACTGCGGCTGGACCCCGAGCAGGGGAGTTCCCTATGCCGGTGCTCTCTGGGATCCCGTAGGGCCCTTTGAGGGTACACCCTGGGAGACCCAAGGTCAGGGCCCCTGCTTTCTCAGCACCCACCTGGGTGAAGGATGAGCTAGTGATTGAAAAAGGAAAAACTGAGATAAAAAAAAAAAAACTTCAAATGTTCAGCAATTGCATTTTTTCCTACTGTTTCATTCTAGCCCTTCTGGTGAGTGGGTAGTGGTGGTACGTTTCTTGGGCTGGAGAGTCAGTTCGCAGGTAGAGCCACTGCCTAGCACACACAAGGCCTTGAGTTCCAGCCCCAGCACCACACAGGGGGAAAAAAAGTTAGACCTGTTACTGTGTTTCTCTTTTTTAATTTTTAAGATGTATTCATGGAGACTGGATCCAGGATTTCACGCTTCATAGCTGCGTAGCCAAGTGTTCTACCACTGAGCCAAATTCCTATCCCCTCTTTCTTTTAAAATTAGGTGTAACTTGAAGTAAATGGTGAAAATCTTAAATGTGGAGCATGATGGATTTTTTTCACAAATATTTATATCCATGTGACCACCACCCAGATAGAGAGAACATTTGGCAGGGAGCAGCCGGAGGCTTCTCTGGGCCCCTTCCCAAAGCCAGAGGAAATGACCAGCCTTCCATGTTTTGCCTGGTTGAATTCATACAAATGGAATCATGCAACATGTACTGATAAGTGCTCCTTTGATGTAGCATCATGTACTGAGTGTTTGCATGTGGCATTTCATACTCTCCAAAAATAATGGCCTCCTGGTATTCAGATGTCCAAAGCAATCATTGCTTAAACCTGAGGAAATCGGTTTGACATCAGCTAAACACTTCTTGGGGACACACCCAAGGTGGCTCTGGTGACAGAGATGGGACTTGAATCTAGCAGGGAGCAAGCACAGCAGGACCCAGAAGATTGGTGGCAGAGCCTGTGTTGAGAAAGAGCTATGGCACAGGGCAGGCTGACAGCCCCACTCTGAGGGGTCCGTGGGCAGGTGGTCAGGACAGGTAGAAGTTCTTCACCCCCAAGGGGCCAAAGAGGCTCCTTGACCTGAGGCATGGTGGCAGTGCGGAGAGAGGAAAGAGGGAGATTGGAACCAACCCAAGCTGGCAAGACCTCTGATCAAAACCAGTGGCCCGGGTCACTTGGCCCGGTCACTTTCTCTCCCACAATCTTACAAGCACCTGTAGCTAGTGTTCCACATTTCCCTGGGGCAGAACGTCTAGTGAAAAGAACTTGACAGAAGGCCCATGCGGGACGACAAGACTGTGGCCCCAGATACTCAGCAGAGACTGGGAACCACGCAGATACTTCTAGGAGAGAGAAGCCTGGGGCTCCAGTGGGGAAGGCGGTAAGTGGAGGAAATGAGGTGAGGGACCCAGAAGCGAGGCTTCATGGGGGGATATGGGTGTACAAGGCCAGGGCATGAGTGGGACCCAGCTCCCTCCTGCTCCCTACCCAAGTCAGGGGGTCGCCCCTAGACACAGGAGTTCCCAGGGCTTCCTCCGAAGCCTGCAACTGGCCTCCTTCATTTCCTGATGCAGAGGAAATAACAGCACCCCCTCCCCAAGGCTGTCAGGAAGGTGAAACCAGGTTCTGCTGAGTGGGAACATGAGCTTGTGTGGGAGGCTTGAGGGAGCTTCTTTTTGCCTACAGATTTCCAGAGAGGCAAGCTGGGCCCGAGAGTCAGGCCAAAGTCTATGACTGTGTCCCCAGCCCACGGACCTGCAGTGTGGCCTTGGACATGCGCTCCTCCCTCCTCTGACCTCAGCCCTCCCTTCTCCACAGTGGGGGGCCACTGACAGACCCTTCAGGGCCTTGGACCTTCAGGCACCTGGCTGCCCACATGCAGGCCTGCTGGGGCCTGAGGACTGGAAACACCCAAGATGGCAGAGTGTTCCGTCTCCCAGAGCCAGGGTCCAGGGGCTGGCGTGAGAGAAAGGGGTTTCCAACCGTGGAGAAGGGTTAGGAGGAGGAGGAGGAGGGGGCAACTACGGGCCGTCTATTGAGGGTCGGGCAAGTCACCTGCCTTTTCTAGTCCAGGCCGCACAGAGATGCCCAGAGAACAGGACAGACAACCTGATGTGGTGGGGGAAACTGAGGCTCAGGGAGGTGACCTGCTCAGAGTCACACTGCTAGTATGAGGCAGAACAAGAGTTCAGACTGAGGTTTGACAGGTGCTAAGACAGAACTGATTGCTGGGCAAGAGACAGACAGAGACAGTCCTCAAAACCCTAAAACATTTTATCTCAAAACTCTAAAGTGCCGGCTCCTGGGGAGTTACTGTTGCTGAGGGAGGGAGGGGACTGGAGCTGTAGACATCTTTGTTCACCTCCTTTCTGTATGGGAGTGCAACTGTGCAGGTCCCAAGTCTTACTCCAACTTCACCAGCTTTCTGCTGTACCTCCTGTCATGAGTAAGCTGAGCGAGTTGATAATTGATGTCTGGATGCATCGGGACTCTAGCAGTTGGAAGTAGTTTGTCTGTTGAATCGGTGAAACGTTACTCTCCTAACTGTCTTAACAATTGCTGCCTTCGCGCATCTCTACTGGGTGAAAGGAAAGCACGGGTTCTGCAGTAAAGCCCAGCTCTGCTAGTGTCTGTCTGCCTGAGCTGTGTGGCCTCGGGCAGTTGCTTGATGTCTCTGAGCCTTGGTTTATTCATTCTGAGGTGAGGGGAGAGGACACCAGGGTCCACAGGCTTGCTTGGAGGATTGGATGGCACGGATGTGCTGTCCCATGGGTGTGGTTATCATTTCCTCCTCCAATGTAGACATTCCAACTCCCAGCACGGAGGCTCTGAGGTACCTGTGAGTGTGGGCAAGGGAAGCTGCCCTCATCCCACCAATAATTCTGCCTCTCTCTGTACAGAGAAAGAGAAAGACCCCAATTACTGGCGAAAACAAGCCCAAGCAACCCTGAAAAATGCCCTAGAGCTTCAGAAGCTCAATACCAACGTGGCCAAGAAAATCATCATGTTCCTGGGAGATGGTGAGGCTTGGAGGGCCAGGGTAGGAGTCAGAGGTGATGTGGAAGAGAGTGGGCTTTGGGGGAGTGGTTTAGAAAAACAGGAGTATAATCCAGAACTCTGGGAGGCTGAGGCAGAAAGATTGCAAGTTGGAGCCTAGCCTGGGCAATTTAGTGAAACCTTGTCTCAAAATTAAGACATTAAAATTTAAAAGGGCTGGAGATGTAGGTCAGTGTGAAGACCTTGGGTTCCGTTCTGAGAGAGCGAGACCAGACTGTGGACCCTAGAGGCTGCTTCCTGGTCATCTCCTGCACATCTAGGAGAGAAGAGAGAGGCTTTCCCAGTGACATTTTCAGGTGCTCACTGCCCAAGCCTGCCTTGGCACCAAGCTAGAAAGCTAGAGAGCTCCAGGCCCAGAGGAAGCTGACGGGAGAGGCTGGAAGCCTGAGGGCCTGACCTACCCCACCCTTCCCTGCCACAGGGATGGGCGTCTCCACCGTGACAGCCGCCCGCATCCTCAAGGGTCAGCTCCACAACAACCCTGGGGAGGAGACCACGCTGGAGATGGACAAGTTCCCCTTTGTGGCCCTGTCCAAGGTGAGCCCACCCCAGGCCCATCTGGAGGAGAGAGATGGGGCTCAAGGCCATCAGGGCTCAAGGCCTGTGGTCCCCTAAGAAGCAAGGAGGGAAGCAGCCACTTCCCAAGATTGATCGTGAGGCTTTGAACTCACTGATTCAATCTTTTTACCGAAGTGTAGCATACGTGGGGAAAAGGGCACATAGCACAGTTTGACTTTTCACCAGATGCTGTTGTCTGTGTAACCGTGCCCAGGTCAAGCAAGTGACCATGGCCACTGCCAAGGGCCCCTTGATGCCTTCAGCCCCTCACTTCGTCTCGCCAAACCCGACCTGCACCACCATCCACGAAGCCTGCCTGCTCTGTGCTTCACAGACACGGGGCCCAGCTGGTTCCTTCCTCTCTCCCGAGGCGGCCGTGGACTTAACCAGATTACTGATATGAACTGTTTAGTGCCACAGCATGAGTGGCAGCTGTGGTCACGGAGGGCTGTAGTGTAGTATGTGCCCTCCAGACACTGGGTCGGGGGAAGAGCAGGGACTGTGACGCTTCAGGGGCTCTGGAAGTTCCCTGGCTGCTGGGGAGGGGAGGTAGGCAGAGAGCTTCAGGGTTTTTTCTGCGGCTCTGGGCAGGAGTCAGCTGGCAGGGGGCAGGCAGAGGAGTCAGCACTGGCCTCTCAGACTCACCCTTCCCAGGGCCCCCGCTTTCTTCAGGGACTCTCCCTTCCCCCAGGATTCACCTGTACCCGGCCCTCACTGGCCCCTGCAGCTCCAGACCAGGAGAGGCCCCTGCTGACCCCACCTGGCCCCTCAGCTCTGCCACACCCGCTCCACACTGGAGAGCTGGCTTCCTGCCTCTCCTGCTGGCGGTGTGGGCAGTGGGGACCTCTCAAGTCCTCCGTGCCCCGTTCTCATGGTAGTGGGTGGCAGCGGTGGGGGCCAAGGCTGGTTCCTGACCTTCCTTTCTACCTGCAGACATATAACACCAACGCACAGGTCCCTGATAGCGCGGGCACCGCCACCGCCTACCTGTGTGGGGTGAAGGCCAATGAGGGCACCGTGGGGGTGAGCGCGGCCACCGAGCGCACCCGGTGTAACACCACTCAGGGCAACGAGGTCACCTCCATCCTGCGCTGGGCCAAGGACGCTGGTGAGCTGTGAGCCTGGGGTGGCGGGCGGCGGGAGCTGGTGGTCCGTGTACGACGGACTGTGCCACAGATAGAAGTAGGGTAGAGAAAGGTGGTCTGGACTCTAGCACTGGTTTGCTGGGTCTGTAACACAGTTCCAAGCCCCTTCCACAGCAGGGAAGGCCGGGGACTCTGGGGCTACTCAGAGCTACTCCCGGGTCTGTGAATTTCACTTAAAATGGACATGAGCATGGAGCCCCCCACAAGGGTTTGGTGTGAGGCCGGTAGAGCACCCAACCCGGGGCAGCCCTGTGGGGATCGTGAGTGTCTGCTTCTCCTCCTTCCTGCCTGGGAGCTGGGAGGCCTGGCTCTGGCCAAGGACTTGGAATGAAAGGACAAAGCCGGCAGGCATACGTGAAGGAACCCTCTCCCCATGGGGTCCATTTGGAGCAGCTGAGGGCTTCCTACAAGAGGAGGGTCTGTGGGTCTGGAGGGAGAGGGGAGACTCCAGCCCCACTGCTCACAGCCCTCTTGTATAGAATGGGGACTGAGGAACTAACGGGAGGCCAAGCTTCAGTGGGGACAGGCAGGAGGAGGCTGCTGGGTGCCCCATCTGCAGGCAGAGCCAAGCTTTGCTCTCCCACACCCCAGGGAAATCCGTGGGCATCGTGACAACCACACGGGTGAATCACGCCACCCCCAGCGCCTCCTACGCCCACTCGGCTGACCGGGACTGGTACTCAGACAACGAGATGCCCCCAGAGGCCCTGAGCCAGGGCTGCAAGGACATCGCCTTCCAGCTCATGCACAACATCAGGAACATTGACGTGAGTGGGGTGCAAGCCTGGGGGCAGGGCCTCGGGCTGGGGGGGCAGAGGTTTGGGCCCAGGCTGGCTGAGAAGAGTGGCCTGGCCAGGCTCCCCACCCACCTGGGACGGCCCAGCCCATCAGGGGATTTGTGGCTGGGGCAGGCAGGCACTGTAGGGTTTGTCTGCGGTGGGGCTGTGGGGTGAACCCTCACGTGGCAGGCACCACACCCCAAGAACCAAGCGCCCAGGGATTATTCCATAAATGAGAACCTGGCGCTGCGGCCTCCCCCCAACACCGGGAGGTGGGGAGGGCACAGTGACCACCTGAGACAAGAACCTGCCCTTCACACTTGCACGTGCATAGACAGACCCGTACACAAAGCCAGCAGGCCCAGAGAAGAGCCCGTGAGCACGGCGGTTAGTGCAAGCTCACGTGTTTCCGCTTCCTAGATTTCCATCCTTGCCCTGCCTTTTGCTAGCTGTATGACCTCGAGTCTGTTACTTTACCTCTCTGAAACTTCTCTTTCACAACCCCCCTCTGAACAGGGCCTGCCCACTAAGCCTGTTGCAAGAACTAAATAAGATCGTCACTGTCAGAGATAGCATGGGGCCTGGCTCCTCTGAGGGCTCAGAAAGGGTGGCGTTTGTGTGTCTTTGTTCCTTGTCCTGGTCCTGTCCTGAACTCTGCCCGATTGCCTGGATTGATCCCTCCTCTACTCTTAAAGGAAAACTTCCGATTTGTTCCTTGGCAGTCTTCTTACCTACCATGGGGGGCTAGTGCAGGAATCAGGGGGGACTTGACCCCCCTTGAGCCTAGAACAGGGATTCAGTGAGGCTCAGAGGAAGCCCCAGGCTCCAGCTCCCCAGCTTCCCACACTGGCTTCTCCTGCCCACCTAATCCAACTGCCCTCTGCCCTCCATGAAGACCCTCCCTTGATTTTGGGTGCCCCCTAGGCCTCTCCCAAACTGTGCCTTCCCTTTTCTGGGGGGCAGATGAGGCACCCCTTCCAGGATAACCGCTCTGTGGACCCATTTGGTGAGCACATGTCAGAGACAGAGGCGCCCCTCTGGCTTTGCCTCCTTCTGACAGGTGCCCCCGTGCGCCTTGGTTTCCCCACCTGCCAGCTCCCAGGTCCCTCCTTCCCCAAGGCAGCCGCAGTGAGGTCATGGACGTGAGAAACAACATTGCACAGCGCAGAGGGTAATTACTGGCTGCTCTCCTAAGAGGTTTGGTGCCAACTGCCCGCCGTGGGGGACAGGAGCTGAAGGGAGCACTGACCCGAGGGGAGATCTCTCTGGCACGAGGTGGCCATGAGGAGGGGTCTCCAGGGGTCCGCAGGGAGCACAAGCTAGGGAGTGAGGGTGGACAGGAAGCATGGGAGAGGCCCTTCCTCCTCCCACCCTCCCCTCCTGTTCCCTCCCAGCCCTGTCTGCCGCTCCACCCCTCCACCCCAAAAGCCCCCCAGCCCCCAAGCTGTACATGAAACAA